CCATGGTGGTGGTGGTGGTGGAGGTGGTGGAGGAGGGGTTTAACCAAGGACAGAACTTCCTTCCCCCACGTAGTGTGTTTGTAGAATGTGGAGTCCGCTAGCTGGCTCGCCTGCAGGGGGAGCGTCGTCCTACAACACCGGCTCCTCTCACTCCTGGGCTATGCTCCTCAGCACGTACTTGACTGTGTAGGCAAACGCCGCAAAGCCTACGATCACAAAGAGGTTGGCTAGAGCCCCACCTAGAAGTCCGTGGTTCCGATTGGCCTGCTGCAGGCCGGGGGCGGGGTTGGCGCCCCCGAGCGGGACGGGACCTCCGTTGAGGGCGGGGAGGCCGTAGTGGGCGTGCTGAGGGTCACCGTCGGGCACCACGTCGGGTAAGGGCAGGGGCTGAGTGCGGGCGCTTAACTCCTCCTGGGCCTTCTGTTTCTGCTTCATCTCCTGGTGGAGGGAACGGAGAGAAATGAGAGAATGATGGGCCGACAAACAGGAAGGAGGAGAGAGGAAGACCAGAAGTTACAGATCGCCTCATACGTACATCGACCACATCGGGAAACAGCTCGCAGAACACTTTATCCTTGAGGTTGAAGGCCAGGCTTTGGGCTGACAGCTGTCTTTTCTGGAAAAACAAAAGAAATGCGAATCAAATATTTGAGACGTCACGAGTCACTGAGCTCTGCATTCACCGCCATCTGTTTGGACTCACTGTGTAGTCGGAGGTCTCGATGCTGCCGAGGGTGGGGCCCTTCTCCACCATGAAGCTGAGCAGACCTGTGAGGATGGTGGAGACGGACCACGCAGGGTTCCACGTGTCTGGATGGAAGTCTGTGATGGACAAACATAACCTGTGGAGAAAACAAGCAAAGTTAGACAAAAGAGGAGCGATGTGGCCAAAGTCATTTTCAGAAACTCTTTAAATGTTGAATTCTAATTCAATTCATTAGTGAGAAACGTTCTTACCTTGTGTTACACTTAAATCTCCCATTTGGTGTTATCATATAGATACTTGGTGGTTTAAAGGGAAACTCCCGAGGAAATATAAGTTTTCCATGATAATATCCTCCTACAACAAACAAGACAGCGAGAAGCAGAAAATGTGACTCAGTTACGGGCCGTCTTCTCGTGCTCGGCAGGAATCAACTTGTCAAAATATGCTACTCAACAGAAGCGACCTGAAATGTGATTGTTTACTGTCTGCAGGTTTTACCTTCATATGGAGTTTTCTCAGGACCTCTGACTACATAGTGCCTAGAGGAGACAGCAAAGATGTCTATTAGTGATTTTTAACAAAAACACAAAAAAGAAAACATCATTACATTCCAAACAAAGCATTTTCGGTTGAATCTCCATCCTCAATGGCCTAGAGTCAGACTGCAACATACCAGGGCATGTTTTCAAACCACAGAAGTGTATCGGCAGTCTATCTGTAATGCATGGATAGAGATCAAACATATTTTCCCGGCCTCTTGAAATAGAACCAGAGGAGACGCACGGTTATATTCACATCACATGCAAGGCTATGCGATAGAGAAACACCTGCTATACCGACTCCAAACCACAGGTTTACCCTAAGTACATAGAAATACGTATACATGCTACAGCAACAAGGAAGCAAGAGTGTTTATTTATTGTGTCTGCACATTGTTAAAATATAAAAATAAATAAAGCGATATATAGACAAACACACACATTGTCTTTATATCGTTTTATATTTTAATAATGTGCAGACGCAATAAATTAACACTTTTGCTTCCTTGTTGCCTGATAAAG